TTTTTTTTTTTGCCGAAATATTTAGTTTTTCTTCAAGAATATTCAGGGCTGATTTTTGAAATTTATTTTCTGTAATTTTTTCCTCAGAAAATTTTTAATTAAAATGTTTGGATTACAGAAAAAAGTAGTAGCTATTTATATTAATTTTTTCGTTTGCGGTAATATTTGGTTTCTCTTCAAGAATATTCAAGGATACATTTTCAAATTAAACTTTCGGAAATTTTTTTCATTTTTGTCTTCAAATAAACACACTTTTCTAGCGCCCCATTCTGTCATGGGCCCATTCTCATTGCGCAGCATAATACCACTCGGGTGGCAAAAGCATGCGCCTGTATTTGTGAGTATGAGCAAGTGTAAGAAAATTTGCAACGCACCAACGCAGGGGTTGCGAATGCCTACAGTCGCCGAGTCAGTTGCTGGGTACATCTTAAACGTTGCGGACGCATTTCCGGTAAACGGAAAATAACGGGACGTACGCTTAGTATACCATATATAATCAACAAATCATAGACACACAAACGCACACAGGCATACGTGGATACAGTAAAAGAGGCAGTGCTGTGGATACATTGAGACTGAAAAAATTTAATCCATTGTCAAGTTGCATTGATATTCATCGGCGGCTGGACATCGTTGCGGCAAATTGTGCATTTTTCAATGCTTCTTAATTGTTTTATTTTGTAAACAATTTTTATTTTATTTGCAAAATGTAAGAGAGAGAGAGTTCGATGGCGAAAAATATTATAGTGAAATTGTGTGGAAATGAGAAAATTGTGAAATAAAAAAGAAATTATTTGAAAGCGAATTGGCTGAAAAGTGGCTGAAAATATTTAGAAAATTGCTGGAAATTGGATTTTAATAAACGGCTAGACGCTGCTTAGGAGTGTATACGTGCATTTGTGTGTGTGTTTCGGCTGCTGTGCGACAACGGAAACGGAAGGCGGGTGTGTGCAGCGAGCACATTGGCCACAAGAACGGACGGCGGAGTGCGACGAGTGTGTGTAAAGGTGTAAAATGTGTTAAATTTGTGGAAAATATTGAAGCTGTTGAAAGAGTGAATGCGGCTGGCATTGAAGCGTTGATATTTGGTATGTTTATTGGACAAGAATTTTGGAAGTAAAAAGCAAGAAAATACGATTGAGTGATTTTTTTTTCGAATGAACTAAAATACATAATTTTTTTTTCCAAAAGTTAGTGATTTTAATAGCTGAAAATCACTTGAGATCCGCGAAAATTGTGTCTGCTACAAAATTTACGTTTCTAAATTGTGCATAAAAAAATGCGCGTCGAAATTTGAAGATTACAATTTTATGTATTCCTATTGATTTGGGCACGTGTGCATTGCAAAATGTGCATATACACAGTTGATGTAAAAATATGTGCGTTTGTTCCATAAGTTTGTGCAAAAATGTATATATGTGCGTATGAAAAAATTGATACAGCACAGAAAATTCCGACAGAATTGAATATTTCTGGGGAGAAGACGAAGAAGAGGAATTTCCACTACCAACAACAGTAATAACTTAACAAGCAACCGTGTAAAGCAACAAAACCAAATAATTCCAACAATACTACGGCAAATAACTACAGTAGCAACATTAAAGCAACAAAAACAATTACAAAAAAAAGAAGCAACAACCCCCATCACCAAACTACCCTTGTTGCATACGTACTTACTCATAATCACAGTGAGCTCGCTCTCCCCCACTTCACCACCACCACCACCTTCGCCATCAAAAACGTCTTTTGCTTGAACGCGTCTGCCAACAAATAACTACCCACTCCCACCAAACCAACGCGCTGACACACGCTGCAGGGATATAGCGCGCATCCTGTGAGCATCCTACATATCTACATACATATGGATGCACGTGTGTTTGTGCCAACAAACAGTCAATCAAAACGCAAGCAGTGAATCAAGCAACCCCCCAAAAGCAACGCCAAATCAACCGGCACTTTAAGCGCACAAAATCGGAAGCTTACACACACTCACACACCCCCTAAGGCGGGCGCGCGTACTCTCTTTCTCTCTGGCGTTCGAGTGCTCTCAACGCGGGTGGCGCTCTTTATTGACGGGCTTGAAAGCCACACGAAAAAAAAAACATATAATATTTGATAATACTAACAAAAACAAAAACACTGTAAGTGCAGTCACAACAAAAACAAAAGTGATGAAAAAATAAACAAACAAGTTGCTGAAATGAAAATTGTAAGCGGCAAACGGTAAACAAACAGAAATCAGATAGCAGAGCAGAAAGCCGAAAAGAGGTAAGCAGGAGGCGTTTGGCAGCAAGCCAGCCAGGAAGCTAGGCAGCCAGGCAGCCAGGCAGCCAGCAGGAGCAGTGTTTGTGTGTGGCGGCAGCAAAGTGGCAGCGGAGTGGAGAAGCGTTTACAACGGCGGCTATTAAAGTTTTCTGCTGTCGTTATCGTTGTTGTTGTTGTTGTCAGACGTTGTTGCCCACGTTTCCGCTTTGGCACTGAAACAATAAGCAAAAGGATATGAAGGATATAGTAACTAGAATAATAATGATGATGATGCGATGGAAGCTGCAGAATTCGCAAAGGATAAGGTAAATGATGCCGCATTCCGGCACAGCTAACAAAATATACACACAGCCAAACAGAGCGTACATAAAAATACATGCACACGTACATATTAGGGCAGCACTTAAATTTCAACAACTAAGTTTGGTACGGGACACCAGGAAAAATCAACTTCATAGCAAACCGCTATTCTATTTGGTTGTTCCACGTACAAATTAAAGACATCCACAAAAATTTCTAGATTTTACAAAAATTTGTAGGAATTGCTTAAATCGGTTTAAAAAATTTTAACTTTTTTTTAATTTTTACTTAAGATCTGATAAATTTTACAATATTAACTATTGAAACTTATTCATATAAATTCATAAAATCGTTTAGCTATGGTTGGCCAAAGTCAACATTTTTCGAACCCTGTTGGAGACCCAAATTTTTATTTTTTTTTAATTTTTATTTATTTTAATTTTTTTATGGTTTTGCTTTATTTGTTTTATACGTAGGACAGCAAAATAGTAAACGGGTTTACCATGATATTGATTTTTGGAACCACCCCAGTACATATACGTAAACAAATAGTCGATATCCTACAGGAAAGTTTTATAGTTATAAACTAAAATACTAACAGTTTGCTTTTAGGCGCAACTAGTGACAATGAAATACTATGTAGTCGCGGTATGTCGGTGGACAGGGTAGTTTTCCCCACTCTGCACCAGCTAAAGTTAGGTTAGCTTACTTCTACTCGGATATATTGCCCTAACCGAGGATACTTCAAGGAGAGAAAACATAAATAACAAAGGTTTTCATCTGGTAAACCACTTGCTATCCCAAATAAAATAAGGAAACTGCAAGAGTTCAATCTCCGATACGTACATATATCTGCTAGACTGATGAAGAAGCGTGACCCCAGGTTTTTGAATCGCCACGACTGTAGGCCCGAATATTCAAAGTGGTCATACTCAGCGCAGAAGCTCCTGCGATGATAACTCGTTGGCATTCGCCATTTTTGGAGTCATCATATTAATACTCTGACTCGCCAAGCCTCAGTCCGAGGAAGCGGGCAGCGTCAATGGGCACATTCCCGAGTGCTTCCGGTGTCAGAGTTGCCGGGTTGGAGGTACAGGCGAAAAGATTTTGGTGGTTATGTGGACCTTGCTCGCATGCTGAGCAGCTGGTTGCCACTTCTGAATTCAGCCAAGAGAGACGGCTGTTGAGCAGCGGATCGTCCTAAAGCTGAACGTTGTTGGGTTGGTTTCCACGGTAACATCGCACGAGGAATTGCTTCGATAATATGGTGTTGTGTTCCTTCACCGCCAGTATCTGGCTTGTCCTCGCTCCTGCCGACCATATTGGCGCTGTGTAATTTCCTACTTGTTTTGTAAGTCGTGAGTCGGCTAGCGATTTATGGACATTGTTTCTGGCTGGTAATTTTTTTCAGGTTGCTGAAGCGTTTGCAGAGCAGGAGAAAAGACTGCCAACGTTACTTCCAGGATTTTAGAGTGGTTGATTGTCGGTGTTTTGGGGCTATCAATGAAGATGTTTAGTTCGAGCCTCATCTCTTTGATCCAAATGCTGTCGATGCTTGGGCCCGTTATTATTATCGGACAATCAACAGCAAAGCACACCAAGCTGACTACAGATAGTGGCGAAGAGGGTATTGCCATGTAGATATTAAACAGTGCGTGGCTAGGACTTGGCACTGCGAAATTTGACTGATCCTTGTCGTCCACACATATAGCTGGTTATGTACCGTTTCGTCTTCGCCAGGTCAACTGCGACTAGGACCGTGATGACGGTAAGAACACTTACTGAAGATTTTGAATTGAATTTCAGACGGGTCTCCGCCATTTTCCTATGTAATGGCGGCCATAATGGTCTTGATACCTCGTTTTCCCGACAGTCGCCCGGAACGACCCAGATTTATATCTGGGCAAGCAAAATCACTGCAACATCATTCCCCAAAAACTCTTTGGGGTATTTGCTTGAGATGGTTCAGAATGCTTCCAGTTTTCTTTTTTTTTTTATATGACACTACAAACGCTTATTAGCTTGGACCGATAACTGCCTTTCTCCTTTGGGAAGTTACACCATATTTTGTGTTCCTGCAGGCACCGGCTCCTTTCTCTATGATTGAACCATCAATGGAGATGGATCACCACAATCTTCAATTGTTAGACCTTCGTTCTAGCATTCACCATTCACCAGTTGGAAACCATACTGCAGTCCCAAACCGGCATAATGTTGGACTCTAAATCAACTTTGATTTCGTTACGGGGTATTTTAGGTGTGCCCGAAGTGTGTTGGTTTCCATAAATGTTCCTACGATCTCAGAACCATAAACGGTCTTCACAAATCGACATGGTCGATATTGCCGAGCGGACCAATTGCGTTTTCTTTATGGCTTTGACAAAGTAAAGTCAGTCATATGTCGCTATTCACATAACAGAAAATTTTTCGAAAAATTGTCGTACTGGTAGGCTGCCGTATCAGCTCATACCAATTAATTAACTAGTCAGTTTTTACCAGTTAATCTACTAGAATGTTAACTGATAGTTTATGGCTTTTTCCTGCAGGCTAGTAATACATGTTTGCATATTTATATTGGCATACAAATGAATTTGTGCACAAATAGTATATCCTTACATTTTGGGTAGGCCGTAGCAACTCTACGTCTCTAACGCGACCAAGTTAAGATGTGTAGTAGAGTAGTACTTCTATAACAACTATTCCCGCAGCAGGTAATAGGTAAAGAGTAGCTGAGGAGTAGCGGGGTGGGGAGGGTGTGATAGTTTGCTGGCACTGCAGGCGTTCGTTCTTTTAGTGGGTCGTTAAAGGAAAGGCGCAGCTGCACACAGCGCAACACATTGAATTGACGTCGCATCGTATGGCATGGCATTAGGCATGGCAGCAGGCATAGATGGCAGCTTTTGCATTGAATTTTTCTTATCAGCATAAAATGCTCCCTGGAGGCTTTTCAGCTTTTCAACTACACAGCAATGACAAGCGTCGTAACAGCAACAGCAACAAAAACAGCTTTTACGAGCCAACTATGTATACGATTTGACGTTTATAAATACATACATACATACATACAATGTATTTAGTGTTATTTTGCAACATAGATAGTGTTCGTCTAGCACACACACAAGTATCCTTTTGTATCCTTGAGCCACCCGCTTTACGTTGCTTGCCGCCACCGCCTTTATTTTTGTGCTCCTTCCTCTATTAGTGAACTTCAGCTTGTACTTTTCTATTCGTACATTAATTTGAAATTTCGCCAACACAATAGATAAATACAAATCTGTATCCTCTCTTAGCCAAAGCGCAGTGAGCAGCACAATTTCTAAGATTTCATTCTGCCTTTATTATTTTTATTTTTTATGCGACTGATGTTGTTTGTAGTGCCATTTCTCGGATGATCTCTTGCCTGGTTGATGATTATGTCGGGATTTGAATGGCAACGGATAATGATGGCATGCAATTGCAAATGCGCCCCAATAGTGTAATCAAAATCCACCCAAAAGTATACAAAATACTTGGCAGGGATAAGGGATAAAGGATAAGGGCCTATTGCACAGCTGGGAGCACATTTAAAGAAAGCGAGTTTAAAGCATAACTCAGCAGAGTGTAAAGTTCAAGGAAAGCAATAAATAGGCAAATTAATTTATGTATTTAGAATTCACTGACGTAAATTTCAATAATCGAATAATACGATTGGAATAAAATTCCGTTTTATTTGACCGATTTAATTCTACTCGAAATTTGTTTCAAAAGTAAAATATTGTCTGCACATGTCCTTTCATATTTATCGTCTGAAGAAGTTTATTAAAGGCAAAGCATACTTCCATTAGGGTGGCTAATTTTTGGTTTGAATATGCGTGTATAGCAAATTTGCCGAAGAAAGCATTGGTCTAAAATTTATTTAAAGTTTACCTAATTTCGAAAATAGATTTCGAAGAAAATGCGAAAATTTTCACTGTTCCGCACACTGGTAGAAGTTTTAAGAGAAAACGAAGTGGAGTAACGGATTCCTCATACCACAAATCCCTTATAATCTGCCTTATCCTTAGTTCCGCCTGAAAAAAGTTCACCTGAAAATTTGTCATCCGCCCATAGTAAAACCATGGAAACCAAGAGTGAAAAACGAACCGGTTCGGGGAAAATGAAACTCATGAATATGTTTATATACAAAATTTAAGCCCTTCTTTACTTTCTTTCTGCGCTATACGCGCATAGCCGAAAAAATATCCCAAATTGACCCGCCCTAATGTCCAAATATTTTATAATATCAGCAGTAGAATTCCGAAAGTTGCTACGCTAAATAAAATTGCTCGTATTTCGAGACCAAGAAAGTATTAAGCCAAATTTTAATACTTTCAATTGAAGTGAAGCGTACTCTCGTAAGAGCCTTCTAATGCTCTGAATTAACGCAATGAGTCCATTTTTCATCGCCGGTGATAATACAATGCAAAACCGAGTTCGTTTTATACCGTTGAAGGAGCATTGGGGAAACAGTGGCATGGGGCTTTAGTTCGTGAGGCACACAGTTTCCGATTTTCTGGGTCATACCAATGGCTTTCAGTGGAAAAACTGGCAGCCGCTGCACAAAAAAAAAATATGTTGTCCACACTTTGATGAAATGAAACATTGTATGGTATTCGTAAAAACTACTGGTGCCCTCTGTTGACAATTCTTTGAAACATACTTGCATACTATGGGTAAAAAACTCGACGTAATACTCTTCTTCCGTTAGGGCTTTACAACGCGTTTTCCAGTTAGTCCGAGGCTTAAAACATGGGAGGACATAGTGCTGTGGTTTCATTTTCAATGACTCTGTTGCTGTGTCTCAGGCCGTTTTTTTGTAGATGAGTTTCATATACGACATCTATGCTTGTCATCACAGCCGTTAATTTAGAAATGCGCCTCCTTTGCTAAAGCTGATTTTTCAACGAAATTGGGGTTCCCTTCCAAACCATCCGAAGCTCAATAACAAAACAAACCGCGTTGTATATGGTCATTAAATTTGATCGTA